CCCAAATTTCGAAAACTCAATGAAAACAAATCTAGAGTATTCACATTTTGAATGAACCCCCTAGTAAGAGTGACATATGAACTCATATAAGAAAACCAATTGGTCCTACCTTTGCTAAAAGTATTCCATTGTGTTGATTTGCAATGAACGCTTTTATTTTCTTGGATCATTTTTGAAAAAAAAAATAAAATAAAAATGCTCCGAACAAAATACCTTTTTTCTTCATAGTCAATTTGTCTGTGTATGTGTCGCTTTGTTTACCGCTAGAGAGAAGTTTTGGTTTCTGTGCACACATCGATTTAAAATGTACCTTTTGGACGGTTGACTTCGGAACGTCACAAGTGTGCATTAAATCGACCCGAAAAGCTTGATTTGTCTTCAAATTACTCTTCGACACAATTCAATATTTCTTTTCAATGTTGCGCGACGGTTGGATGATCAGGTGAAAAGTGTGAACGAGAAATATGCATTACCTATTGGCATTGTGCTTTTCAAATGATTGTGTCGCAACCATGCCAAATGATGCAAAGAGTGCCAAATGGAAGGGCTATTTTTCATCGACTGCTTTTTTTCCATATTTTATCACAGCCATTTACGTTTGGTTGGGCTACCTTCGCTCTTTAAATGTGTCGTTCGTTAATAAAATTTATTGAAAAACTGAAGACTATTCAGTGGGTTCATTTTTTCTCAAATATATCCAATATTAGTGCTTATTTTTTACAACGTCAAATGAAACTGTACAAATTGTCTGAATAAGAATTTATATCAATACAAGAATTTTGATGGATTTAAAGAATGGCCGCCGATGGTAATAAGCTTATGGGATCAATTTTATTCTCCTAACAAGTTTATTGCTTAATTTCCTTTTCAATGCCTTGATAGTATACAATGATATTATACTCAATGACTTGATAGAAACGTCGAAAAAATTTTTTTCCATTAAATGTCAAAAATGTTGACTCCAAATTTCAACAGTTACCAATCTTCAAAACAAAAACCCTCACAATTTCCACTAAATTGTGCAAAATCATAGAAATTTACATTCCATTGCATTTCGCTGCCAGCGTAGCTCATATATGGAAGGTGTATCTTCAAGAAAACATTGGGTTGACTAGGATTTTTGTTTATATTTCATGTCGATCACCTGTCACCACGGGCATGGTTTGCGCTGCAAAATTGCTGCGCCATGTAGTATCGGTCATCATCGAAATGGACATGTGTGACGACAATAAACCAAATAATGCAAAAGTACACGATGGTATTGAGTGAATGTTTTCAAATGTTTGTTTGGCTAACGCAAACCAATTCAAACATATAATGCGCATCATAGATCGGCGGCCAGACGATTGACGTGTTTATCCGAACAGGTGGGCAGTAAAAACAATGATAAACAAGCTCATATCGACAATATTTGTGTTTAACATGGAAAATGAGAATTGAAGCGATTATTTGTGTACGAAAAGTATTTCGGAATCGAAATATAAAATGTATATGAAACGCTAATGTGCATGGCAATGCGATGTCTAATCCAAAATACTTATTTGCTTGTGCACTTTTGTGTTTCGTCACCATAATTCTATCTATTTCAAGCTAAACGAATGCAAGCATTTTCGCCAGACAGACGAAGTACCTAGACTATACATATGTTGTTAGCTGTATAGCGCTACGTCTGAACGAAATATACATTATGCACGAACTTATATTGAATGGCGGACTCACACGAATGAAACTGCTGCCGCTGCCGCTGCCGCTGCTCGCTTGCTTCAATGTATCGGTGACATGTTCGATGCGAACGATATTTGTGATTGTGTGTACAATTCTAAATGTCTGCTTTTTGCATACATTTTATTCAATGCAAGATTAGAAATCAGCCACATCAACCGCACACAGGGCTGACGTCAACGCAAATATGGTGTAAAGGGGAATATGCAAATATAATTAATGGTTTGGTTTCAGACTTAAAATTTTAATGCTTTAAATGCATTAACATCGAAATGCGCATGGAACTACATATGTACATATATGTATCAACGATGTGATCATGTTGGCACATCGATTTACATAAGCAAATATTGAGCACGCACACTATCGTCTCACTGATACTCGAATGTATTTTGAAGTACGGCGCTTGAAATTTTATTGAACAAAAACTAACGCGGTGGCGCACAAACTCCGATTAGAACAAGTCGAATGAATCAACACACATTGATGTAATGCCAACTGAATTTGGCAATTTAAATTATTTATAACAGGAATATCGTATCGACGATCATTAACGACTTACATGATTCTTCCATCTGTCATCTGCACTTTAATGTCCACATTCGATAATATCGGCCCTATCCCACTTATTCTTGTCATCCTTTATTAGCATTCAGTTTGGAGTGTTTGATCCATACAGAGGACAATTTAACCTCTTAAAATACCCAAATGGACGCCATTTATTACAATTTCATCACGTTTTTATTATTTCTTTTGTGCGATTTCGTTTTTTTTCAGTCCAATTGATTAGTTTCTATACATTTTTTTATTTCAGAACCAAGTGCTACACACTAAAATTTAGTTCAACTTTAGATTTAGTTTTATTGCATTTTTATCCATTTTGAAACTAGAAATTTCATGAATCTTTCGTAAATTCGCTGAATATTTTGTGAATAAAATAAATATAAAAGCCCCTAGTTCGAAATTTCATTCGTTATTCTTTTAACTCAGATGTAAATACCTCCCATTCTTGAATAACTTCGATGTATTTTGCAACTTGGAAAAGTTTCTTTTTGGCATATTTCACCGGATCCATTAAAATGACGAATAATCATTTGCAAGTTTTAATTGATTTCAAAGTGTCAATGAGAGATAACTTGATCGAAATGTCCAGAGTATAATTAAGCTAGGCTGCTGAAATATATGTAAAAAAAAAAATAAAAATAAAATGAACGAGCGTAATCCATCTCAATGAATTGTTATGGATTAGTTTAATGGTCGAGAAGAGGGCAATCAATGGGATTTAAAAATCGTTATTTCACACTTTCAATACATAAATGTCGGTGGTAAAGTACATTCGAGCTCATGTGAACCATTTATATAAACATAAAAGGATTTGTTAAAAAATTACGTGAAACACACATCCGTCATAATTTGGTTTACATTCCCAACAATAACAATAATAATTAAAGGCATTTTGTGTTGTATGCCGTTTTTAGCCGGGTTTTTTTTTCTACACGCACCTCATTTTGTCCTTCTTTTCCATTCGTTTCGTTTTTCGCCAAATGGAATGGAATTGAATTGCGCGCCTCAGACTGTATAAGCTATTATATATTGGTTCCAATGCCAGTACATAGTACACTATTATTAGCAATTCCATTCACAAAATTGCCATCATGATTGCTATGTACTTGAAAATGAACATTCGCATCGCAGATCTGATGAATAATTGTCAAAAAGTTGTCGATTCTTTAATCAACGTTTTAAGTACACGGCACATTTCCTTCTTAATGGCAAAATAAGGATTTACGACACGAATAAAGAAAACTTTTTCTATTTGGGCGTCATTTCATTTGCGCTCAAAAGGCAATCAAATGGGAATGAAGGAGAGCGCATGAGAGTGGGTGAGCGAGTGGGATAGAATCAAATGGAGCTAACATCGTTTTACATTTTCACAACATGCTATAATGGGGCACCGTACGAATGAATGATGGCTGTTGCACATTTTGTGATAATGAAAATTCGAATATACGCGCAAAGTTCCCGCCCCCCCCCCCCCCCCCTCTCTCTCACACATTATTCTCAACGTAATGCGGACACAAATTGTCGCTCATAAATACTTCACACGGAATATTGTAATCAATCATGTATTGTTGTTTTAGGTCGACAATGGTGTACACGAAACTGAACAGAACGGCCCATGGAGCAAGAAAAAGAACCATGGAAAAAGACATTGCCATACGATTTTGTGTAGTTGAAAATTTACTCTGTTTTTTTTTTATTCGTTCTTTTTTTTTTGAATGAAGTTCTTTCATATTTGATTACGTGTTTCTTAACACACGATGCCGAGCCGCAATAAACTGCTCAAACGGAATCATGATAAGAGAAGAAAAAATCCATGTAGAGTAAATACGCAGGAATATTCGCAACAACGATTTTCATTTTGTTCTTAAAAGAGAACGGACCATGTAATATTGCAGGTTAAGGAAAGGTGAACAATGACACAAATATGCGCCATGCTACAGATAAGCTCTGACGATGATGGAGTATCATTGAGAATCGCGTACAGAAAACGAAAAATTATCACCGTTAATATACACGTACGCATAGAAATTATAATTGCAAATCGGTCTTATACATACTTTTCTTCTCTGAACGCTTCTATATAGCAATACTTGAACGATGAAAAATTGCTTCAAAATTGTTTCAAAATCTGAACTGTGAGGTGTAACCATGTTAATCTAATTTTATATAAGATTTTCATGGTTGCTTTTGAACACCCAATCGATAAATTACGTCATTTGTACGACTTGACATCGAATTGCTTTTCTTTACGAGCAAATATTTAACTACCTGGGCGTTTTTACCGTACCATTGTAATTGACTATGCTAATTTAACGCTGGCGTTCGACTATTTAACATGTTGAGTTAGAGAATATCATGGTAATTAAAAATAGATTTGCACAAGGAAAAAAAAGAACGATTAAAATGCCATGAAAATAAAACACAGCCAACCGAACATAATTGAAAGCCCTTTTTCAATGGGATGCCAATGTATATTGCTTCATAAAATGTTGTTGATAGATATATAGAAAAAATCTGCAAATTTTCAAACGCTTCAATAAGAGCCTCGCTCTCACTCAGTGAGAAATGTGATCTCTTTTGCGAGTTTCGATTTCGGTCAATATGAACGGATTCATCGCTTTTTCCTTTTATATCTTCTTACGTTTACAAAGTTATCGAACGAAACCCGGTTTTCAATTGAACATAAATAAATTGCAAATCGTAAAATGACTTACCATTGAAGGCGTTTATGTGATTTCCTTCGTTGGTTTAATTATAGTCTTTTGTTATGTCTAAAACATATGGTTTGGAACAGTTATTGGAAGCTCGTAAGCCGATAGTGCATTTGGCTGCAGCAAATCAATCCAATTCTGCGATCTGAAAATGAAATAAACGAATGGATTAGAGTGGTTTCCTTTAAATTTTAGTTAGTTAACCCTCAATTGCATAGGACCAATGGATTTTTAAGTATAACTTGAACTAGTGGAGCTAAAATTGAACTGGAGCTGATCATGAGGCGGAAATAGCACCAGATTTCAAAATTGGTTCGATATTTAGTTCCAATTTGGAATTGCTTATTACATTGATGTGCCCTTCGAATTTTAGGGCGCTGTAGCCGCCACAATTTATTTTGAAATCTCAGAAGCCGCTGTATGGAGCTGATACTGAAATCTTGATTCGCAACATTTTTTTGTCTCTATAAGTACTCTAAAGAGGAGGTCATTACAAATGAAAAAAAAAACACTTAGAGAATTCTTTTCAGGTACAACTTCAATTGCACCACCCTCTGTCTATCTGGTGTTGAATGCATTTCTATTTTTTTTCGTTTTTCATCTATTAAATTTTTTTTTTTTTTCAATTTGAAAATGGGAAATATTCGGTGATTGAAAACGACAGTTTGGGGAAATTGCATGCTTGGAATTAAATCATAGGAACTGGTTTCAAATCACTGCTTTTGAAGGTTTATAAGATGCAATGATGAACTACGTAGATGTCATCCACGTATTCGATTTTTACATCGTTCGGGAAATGAGCTTGAATGTTGTTGTAAAGACGTGCATCGAACATAGTCCCGCAACCGTTTCCCACTTCAAAAGCTGTCAACGAATGAAAACCATGGGCAGATGTCAGTAATGAAATCTTATGCTAGAAAACCTCGAGAACTGTTTCATTTTATTTCTGAGTACAGTTCGAGCGTGTTCAATGGTCAAAGACATGCGGCTCTCAATGAAATTCGTTTGACCCCGAATAGACTTCTCCAGTCTCAATTACTGAAATCAGATTGTCGTAATTTTCTATTTCTCTTCATTAAAGTTTGTTTATCTGCAAGTGTGTGACAGAATGGAATGCAACTAGGATTTTAAAACCGTACATTTTGTGGCACTTTAGAAATATTCATGGCATTTTCACAGAAGAAATTGAAATCTAAGCAGTATGAATGTCATAGAAATGCTAGCACAAAAATATATCGTCGTCTACCGTGTCATCTATTGATTTTCCCAAAGACGATTTTGGCTTTTGTCTTCGGTGGATACTTAATTCAACATGAATGGTAATTTAACTCTTTTTCGACATGAAACTCAGTGAAGCTTCATGCAAGACTTGAACCGAAACTAATTTAGAATTGCGAAATGGTAGTTTTATTTGCTTGCTAGCACCCCATGAAATCGTTCCATCTTATTATTAGGCCAGTCTATTATTAAGCCCACGATAAAATACTATTATGCTTTATAATTTAATATTACGCTGGTGGTTAGACTTCATTTGCGATTTTTTTCAATTCCGTGTGCCGTCAACGTTACATCGTTTCGGTGCGACGTATAAATTTCCGGTTTTCGCCGAAAAACATGCATTCCAATTGTGAAGCACAAGCACATATTTTTCTACCGCTTATGCATAATATAAGGACTGGCGGTACGATAGGTTATTATTACCACAATGTGAATTTATTTCTTCCCCGTACTTAAAATGCATTCACCGTCGCCAATTGATGCAGCATTAAAAGAAAAAAAAACTTTTGTAGAAGAGCTACATTTTGTTGTTGCTTGACTTTGGTTCACAAAAGTTTGTCGTGTTTCATCGTGGCTGTACAGTGTACATATTCTACGGTATACTGTGCTGAGTTTTTCGCTTTTTTGTCCATGTTTGAATATTATTTGCAAGTAAAAAATAAATAAATCAATGGTCTGAATTTCGTCATTCTTCAAACTCATTACAACAATTTGCTTGATTGGCATTTTAGATTACTTTGAGAGATATTTGCGCGTCTGAATGATTTTCAGATACTTTGACTAATCGAAAAGTTACGATTTATTCAATGTAAATAGGCTATGCAACGCAATCAGGTACTGTTCAATACGTGCCCGATATATTTTTACGAAGTCAAGGTAAGTACAGCGGTTGATGCGTTCCAGTACTCGCTCTTATCAACAAAACTACGCGTTGCGCAGGCTATCAATATATTCTTTATTCTTTTTTCTTGGATATTACTTGAGTAATAAACTCAATTGTTCCCTTTTTGTAAACTTTTATTACAACGAACATGTTTGTTAATCTTCAAAATCTCTGTTTGATGTTTTTGTACAGAATTTTCGGCGAACAAAAAATTTATCACGAATTCCATGCCATTTCCAACAATATGGAAGAGTGAAACTATATTTCAGTGCATAAAATGTTCATTGCAAATGGACAGATGAATTTTCTGAACAAAAATGATATCTTATCTCTCAGCACCGTGATTCTTTCAACCGCGAAACGTTCGTTTCACTCTCGCATTTTTTATGTACAGAACTATTTATAGTGGTATCATAAATACTTGATTCCGTTTCGATTATGCAATCGTGAGCATTTGGTGGAAACTATTCATCCATTGCAAAATACAATCGTTTGTTTACACACAACAGTTTGAAAGCGAGAGAACGAATCTGGAGCTTATACCGTTCAAGCACATGAGATATGACTGACCGATAAATTGATATGAATTCCTTTCTTGCTCTCGGGATGAAACAACATTTTGTTTGAGTCGAGAAGCTGTGCAACATTTCGTTCGGAATCGTTTGCTTGGCCCATAATTCATAATGCGCACACACACACACACACACACACACACATTCCCCTGTATTGCATATGAATTGCAAATCCTTTTATAATCCACACTATTTCTTATTCAATTCATCAGCTTGCCATAGACGGAAGGCAATCTCTGTGCCGTATATATCCGCTCCATTTGAACAAGATACTTTTTTTTCCGGCGAGAAAAAATATCGCCTCAACCGACTATACATTCGAATGTTAAAATACGGTGCTTTTATGAATATTTTTCCATTCGTAGTAAATAAACAGAAACGACAATGACAATGTTCTTTCACTACATGAACACATCTGCTTTCAATACGTAAAACATTCAGTGTTATGAAACATTTGGCTAAGCATAAGCACATTCATTTTCATTTTTCAATTTTCTTGAGAACTGCTTCCATGGGGTAGCCACACAATGCGGCATATTTATGAATGCAAAAACTGCTGTCTTGTTTTAATGCTCGCACATACACAACGATGTTTCTAATTATACAGACAGACTCCAAAACTCTTTTCTTTCACCACACAGTGTACAAAAACCATCTGTTTGTTTTGTTTCTGCATTGCGCCGCATATAGACGAGACTCGTATTACGAGTGGAATAGCTGAATCGGTTGTCTTTTGATGATAGTTAAATGTTAAATTTATTTTCAGTGATTGCATTACAGAATTCGAACCAATCAGACATTTGCGCTTACTTAACAAAAATATGTGAAAGATCAACAGTTGATTGGGTGCTATATACTCTCTCTCTCTCTCTCTCTCTCTCTCTTATAATTATAATTGTCAAACTACAAGCGTCATAGGTCATCACGTGCATGGATTGACAATACATTCAAATTGGCATTCGCATATGAATGAACTAACTCGATTTTTCATTAGTGCGTTCAAGCTCGAGAATATGAAACTTAAAGGAATCGAACGAATAACATTTAGCTACAAATGTTATTGTTAGCATTGAAAAGACTATGTTGCAAAGGTCCGAGTGGTGCAAAGGCTATTGAGTTTCGGCCACATTAGTACATGGAGAAGAGTGTAAATTATTTGCGACTCTAATTGAATTTGAGAAAAAGTCAGAAATCATGGTTTTGTGTATGTAATTGCTGTGATGTTTGTATTGTTTACAATTTATTCTTACATTCTGCCGAAGAGACCTTCTCATTTGTTCAAACATTGACCACATCCGTCGACTAATTTATTTTCATTCATATGTTTACCCCACTTGAGGTTTGCATATACACACAACACAAAAGTATATTCAATTCCATTGCATTGAACGGTGTGTGTAAGTTTGGTATTGTGCCAGAGTTTCCATAAAAAACTTGCTCCAGTGCAGTGCCCTTTCGATTTTTCATTCAAATTTCATTTCAATAGGTGCATATTACAAGTCCAGCGTAAAATTTTACGTTGCTATGATATTTTTATGATTAGAATTTCTATTTGTTCTGTACAAGTACTTTGGCTCAAGTGATGTTTTAAAGACCATCATATGCTAGTTTACCAACATATATCTCCCTGTGTCGGTTCGTGTTTTAAACATTGACAAAGCATTGTGGATGTGCTAACAAAACGTAGAACGTACTTTAAATTCTCCTTTAATCGATTTTAGCGGTTGGGGTTACTATTAAATCTGTTAATAGATGTTTCACATCGCGAAGTCTTACAACTTTTCTCATTTATGGTGTTGCTGTAAAGCATTCTTAAAATTCGCATTATATTACATTCTCCCATCCATTCTCATCGTGAAAATGAAGATGCATTCAAACTGGATTAAAATAATTCAACATTTCTCTAGCATTTAGCTTGAATAATCAGACCTTCATTTAGTTGTGTGTAATTATTTGTGGATGAACTGTAAACAAGTCGGTGTATTAAAGCCGAATGCCAGAGCTGTATTCATTTGAATGTGAACAAAACATTGCCATATCACTTCGTATTTGATCACAAATTAACTTGACTATGTACATTATGCCGTTGGCCAGTACTGCTTTTACTTCATTCTCATTTTTTTTTTCGACTGCAAAATGATATTTCTGCAATTTACATTTTTCCATTCATTCCGTCTAAATGCATAGCATCTGAATCAAATAAAGCGCATTCAGTCTGGTTTTAATTTTCTTGCAAATGCTGTGTTGCGTCCATCTATTATTTATTTCTCCGTAAAACAGATCCTATTGTATTGCGCGCTTTCATTCAGTCTTTTCCATGGAAACGTAGCAGAACTATAAACCAAATGAAAACACTTGACGCAAAACAGTACAGTAGACTGTCGATAATCCGAATACAGTCAGTCAGAATAT